CTCTCTCTCTCTCTCTCTCTCTCTCTCTCTCTCTCTCTCTCTCTCTCTCTCTCTCTCTCTCTCTCTCTCTCTCTCTCTCTCTCTGTGTCTGTGCTTGTATGTGACACAAAGCCAAAATTCAATCAACAAGACTTGGCATAAGCTGGTCGTCTGCACTGAACCGACGATGTTATTGAGACAGATCGAAAGAAATGGCACGAAAGCAGAGCGCGGAGGAGGGAGTTAAGCAAAGACGGGAGATGAAGAAGCCGGAGCTTAGGTCGCCATGGGGAAGAGAGATGGGTACAGCAGGTGCAGACGGATATTAGTACGACAGAATGTCGAAAGATGGACAGTCGAGGGCAAAAGTGGGAGGAAGAGGAGGAGGAGGAGGAGAGAGGACAAAATTGCGGCTCACCTCTTTCGCGCGGAGCTGCTCACCGCTCCTCGCAATGACGGGAGCTCAAGAAGCCGGAGTTTAGGTCGCTACGAGGAAGGGAGACGCGTAGATATTGCGAAAGAATGTCGAAAGACGGACAGTCGAGGGCAAACAAGGGAGGAGGTGGAAGGATAAGATCGGGCGGCCCACCTCTTTCACGCGCAGCCGTCGCCGCCACTTCGAAGAAAAAACGAAGGTTCTACTCTTTGGCGGTTTGCAACATCAATCTAGAACACCACACTTCTCATGTTTCCCGGCAGCCGTCTCTCTCTCTCTCTCTCTCTGACTGCTCATGTTTCTCCGCAGCTCTCTCTCTCTCTCTCTCTCTCTCTCTCTCTGTGTCTCTCTCTGTCTCTCTTTGTCTCGCTCCCCCCACGTGTGTCTGTGTGGCAAGCACGGCACCCAAACACACACAAACGCACAACCACACGCACGCACACGAACGCACACAGCGCACCCACGCAAGCACGAAACAACACTACCACAGGCAAACACGGCCGTACGATCTACCGGTATCGGCAGGCCTATTCTAGGTCCATCGGTGCCGGAAGGCCTATGAATCTAGGTCCATCGGTGATGGCAGGCCCATTCCAGGTCCGTCACGGCCGTTGGCGCAGTAGTACACCCGGGAAAATTAAATTGCACCTGTATACCCGCTATGCATAGTCCCAGGACCAAACTTGCATCTACCCAACTTGTCCCGTGTGCGAAATTGTGCACATACCCGGTCCAGCAGGTCCTCCTTGGAAATTATGGTCATGGTCCATCGGTGCTGGCAGGCCTATTCCACGTCCGTCACGGCCGTTGGCGCAGTAGTACACCCGGGAAAATTAAATTGCACCTGTATACCCGCCATGCATAGTCCCAGGACGAAACTTGCATCTACCCAACTTGTCTCGTGTGCGAAATTGTGCACATACCCGGTCCAGCAGGTCCTCCTTGGAAATTATGGTCATGCCCAGAAATCGCCCGGATCTGGACTTGTTATGGAGAAGGTGTAGAAATTGCGATTTCCACATCTCTCTGTTACACACGTCCAGATGCAAAGGTTTGTGCTCCACTGCCTATTCTTCACGGAATTCCTCGAAGAATTGCGGATTCCACTGACATTTCTACATTATTTTTTCTCTCGGGGATTCTGCCCACTGACGAATTCCCTACAATCACTGAAAGTCGAAATTCTCCTCAGTTCTCCGCGATAAAACAGAACAAAGGAGGTGATGAACATTTATTTATGGGTAGCACCCTACGTATTCTCGCGTACGCATATGAACCCAAAATCGCACATACACGTATGTATAAAAAAATAATAAATAAAAAATAAAAATAAAAAAAATAAAAAGCAAGATTGTTGTGCAGAATAATAACACAAACAACTTTTGTTTGGGGGTCATACCCGAATTCTCAACCAAGCTCGATTTAAAAATGAAAATCCTTAAATAAAAACTATTAAAAACTAGGCTACAAGTCGGGCCGCCTGGGTCACCATATTTTTCCGGGTGGCCGGGTCGTACAAGGACCATAAAAAGTCCAAGCAAAAAAAAAAAAAAAAAAAAAAATCCTAAAAAAAATTTATGTTATGCAGAACAATAAACTGAACAACTTTTGCCTCAGGGTCACATCGAAATTTTTTACCAAATTTATTTATTTATTTATTTATTTTTTGGGGGTCCGTCCAGGCAAATAGACCCGGGTCACTCTGGTAGCCTAGATTAAATAGTTTTTCATTAGGAAGATTTTCATGTCTGGTCGGGCACCCGAACATTAAAAAAAAAATAATAATAATAATTATATATATATATATAGGGTCACACGCCCGTACGTACGGGCGTTCGGGGTCCCGTACGGGGTCCGAACCTGACAGCGTTTGGCCCCCGCCAAAAATTATTTCGGGGCCTAAAACTAATT